CCCCAAAACCCCAAAACCCCAAAACCCCTTATTGAAGAATTTACTAAAATTAGTGCAATTTTTATTTCTATAAATTAATACTTATATACATTCAAATAGATTTATGTTGTTGGTTTCTAATTCTATACCTTAAACTTTATTGTCTCAAAATTTGATTTTATAATTTAGTATTTCACTCTAGCTTCACCAAGCTTGGCCATTAAAGGCCAATCATTTAGAAATCTTTTTATAATAGTTACTAGCCTTTTAAAGGAATTGACTTTAATTGCTATTAAAATTGATTGTTACTCTGCCAATAAATCCATAGTATTTGTATTAGCTCATCTTTAAAGAAGCTCTTTAGCTTACTATCGTTATTGTTATTGAATACTCTCCAATAGTTCTCCAAAGTTTAATTATTATAATACTTTTGCAAATTTAATGGAACTTTATCTCGCTTATTTCTAGAGGTAAATTATATCAAGAACATCTTAAATATTGATTCCTCTTAGTGTAAGATTTCTTTAACTCTCTTAGCTTGAGCTTTATTAGAATTTGCCAATCTAGGAATCAAAGACTCTAGATAATCTTTAATTTTCGCAACTAGTTTCTACTCAGACCACTTTTACTTATTGTTGCCATTTGATTGCTTAATGAAATCTTTCTAATAAAAATGTCTAAATGGTCTCAAAATAGCCTTCCAACATTCATCCTTTTTAACCCTTTACTGACCAGAAATTTTTTATTTCTGACCAATAAAATCTTAGTAACTATTTTCCTATTGGCTAATTTAAGTTTGATCATCACCCTCTAATGCCTCATCTAACATTTTAAGAATATCAATTTCATTTTGTGAGGGTGGAGACTACTAGGGCTCATGGGTGTTGATCAAGTTATCCTTTTGTTGATGGTTGATGGTAGAGAAGTTGTCAGTGTCATTTTCAATTGGACTGATAATATGGCCATGATTTGTTGGCACCCACAAGAATTAGTCTGTGCAATCTTACGAAGAAAAGCACTCTTCTCTTAAAAGGCAAGAATTGCTGGATTCACATAATTAATTGAGGTCAAAGGAATCAAACTGAGGAAGAATAGGACTCTCACATGAATTTTTTTCAGTAGAAAAATCAGAATACTGCTCTTATAGATCGATTAAAGGAGACTCCTTCTAATTGATCTCAGATTGTTGGAAAAATATATCTTGAAAATATGTGTTATCAAACATCGAATAGAACGGTGCAGTGATTGTACTGTTGTTTTAATAAATAATTATAAAGTTGTGGGGTTGAGCCCCTTAAATAGGTGGTTAAGTAAGTTCAAACTAACGTATACTATTCAAACCTATCATTTCAAAAGGCTTGATACCTTCTTTCATGAAAAGAAATTGTATAATAAAATTAATTAAATTCCAGAAAAAATATAATTCAAATTCTGATTTAAACTTCTCTCAAATTTTAATCAATTCAGTTCTAAGGGGTTTTGGGGTTTTGGGGTTTGAATAGTATAC